CATCGCCAATCGGACCCTGAAGTAATACCAATCACAATGAATAAATGTCCCCCAGTGCCTTGAGGGGATATTGAGACTAAAACTCACCTCACATATCAATACATATGCTAAAGATGCGGGGAAAGTGGTTGTTTCCCTGTACCACTCGAGTACCTGATTACTTGTGCTATGAACTACCGTCACAAGAGTCAGATCAGGCCTAAAATGGAGTGCCTGGTGCCATGTTTGGGCAGGAGCTGCGCAGTTTTCACTTCCCAGTCTCGTTAGAGCCCCAAAGCGTCTCTACCTCCTTGTAGATGACAAATCATTTCCCACCCTACAATCCCTTTCGCACAGGCCCCAAACGTTTCAAGCCTCTCGCTGCTCTATCGCTCTTTCCATCGATCCAGGGGTCAAATTAAACTACATAGCTTTGTTCCACCAGTTCTAAACCTTCACGGCACGGACCCGTCATGCTAAGCGCATTGTACGAGCCACCCGCATTTCGTCCGTATTCCATTGGTGAGATGTAAGATCCAATCTAGCAGCATCTACCCGCAAACCACTGCTTTTTGGAACCGATTCCCAAAGGTTTGTTTTCTCGATCACTACAATCCTAACCGATTCAAATCTAGATGTGTAAATTGTCACTATTTTATTTATTGTTAAGGGGTCCACCCCATTTTTATACAAGTGGACTCGCCCAGTGTGTACTTGTACTGCTGCCGGTGAATACCCGGGAGTGAGAGAGTGAAAGAGTGAGAGTGTGAGGTAACCGCTTTGTAGGAGTCACAGTTGCGAGCACGTAGACTCAAAAGGAAGTCCTACTTCGATACTGAATTTCCCAGACTGTATATATATTATTATTGCTACTAACCGCATTTCTGGATCTATTAACCGTGTTACCAATTGTATTATTGCGTCAATACATTTATTTGCTATATTTCATTCCTGCGTTTGTCATTCATTTAAGACCGGATTTAATCCCGGAATCCACAACATTTATTTATTTATTTTGTCGTCTGTACAGTAGAGTCCGTTAAACATTGTCTATGAGAAAAGAGCCCCATGGCTCAATTCACTCCACCAGAAATTTGGGAAAATGGTTGGTTCCATGTCACGCTCCCAATAAGCACCTGGCTTCACCCTGCTTATCCATCACCTTTACAAGAGCCAGATCGGGCATAAAATGGAGTACTGCTACCATATATCGGCAGAAGCTGCACAGTCGTCACTTTTCAGTCACAATAGAGTCGAAAAGCGTCTCCGCGTCCTTGTGAGTGATGAATTATTTTCCATCCTGCAAACTCTCTCTCTCTCTCAGAGATAAATCATCACAAACCTCTTGCTGCTTTATCACTATTTCCATTGAAAGTGTTCAGATATGGATTCAGATAGATAGATAGATAGATGAATAGATAGATAGATATTTCCATATAGATAGATAGAATGAATATTTCAATATTTATATATATATATATATATATATATATATATATATATATATAGAGAGAGAGAGAGAGAGAGATAGATAGATGAATAATATTATTAGTGGTAAATATACACATACATATAAATTATACACAATCATATAAATATATATACATACATACATACATAAACAGACATATATATATATATATATATATATATATATATATATATATATATATATATATATATATATAAATAATTCAGAGGATAGAATCCAGGTAGAACTCAATGTCCAGAACAGAGTAAGGATATAATTTATAATTTTTTGAATTTGTAGGTCTGATGAATTGGATCGTATTTACGATTCCAATGGAATAAATTATGACCATGGAATATTAGTGTTTAGGCTTTTTTTTATATATATATATATATATATATATATATATATATATATATATATATATATTGAACATGCAGAAAACATTGCATGAGCTATGAACTACTCCAGTGACGACGAATGAATGTTCCCTCAGGGTGGGAAGGACGTGCCATGAACGACTATTGAACCTCAAACTCCACCCATACCTCACTTGGAACACATACATACGCACCATCACTAAAGATGCAGAAAAAAAATGATCGGTTCCCTTTACCGCCCCAATAAGTACCTGACTCCGTCTGCTATCCTCGACCTTTACAAGAGCCTAATCAGGTCGAAAATAGAGCACTGCTGCCATATATGGCCAAAAGCATTCCCAAAGAAAGTTCTTCGCCCTCTCTAACCTTCTAACTTTCTGTCCTTGAGTAACAAGGTGCCTCACAGTTTTCACGTACGATTTCATTTTCAAGTCTTTTTTCACTGCTTTTTGGACTGTCTTATCTTAAACAACTCTCTCCTGTGCCAAACGTCTTATGAAGTGAGTTGGATCTTTTCTAATTGATCGCTTTAGCTCTAATTTGAAATGATGGTCCCTCTTCCTGATGTGACCTTCTGATCCAGTTTTCTTCTCTATTGTTCCATCTTTTTAAAGCATATTTACCATTCTCTTGATGCTTGAATGAATTTTGAAGATGGAAGCCAGAGTATGAATGTTGATACCATTCCTAAAGGCCTGAATGATCGTTTTCCTCTCACCATTGCTTAGTTGGGAAAACATAGTGGGACTGACAGAAAATGATTTTAATCTGATCTCTTTCTAGCTAAACTCAAAGGTTTTTCATTTTTTAGGATGGATAATTATGCTGTTACACGATTTGGACAATTTTGCTGTTACACAGGGTATATGGACCCTGAGATCAAAACTGAGTGGAGACAGTCCTCATTCATATTTGAACGCAATCTTAATGTCCTGAAGATTCTGTTCAAGCATGAGTAACATAATGCATATATATATATATATATATATATATATATATATATATATATATATATATATATATATTTTGGTTGGATAGATGTGAGTTTGTGACCTTGGGTTTCACGCTTTAGCGATCGTCAGACAAACTGATTATTTTTTTTAAATTTTGGGTTTATGTAGATTGTGTGTATTGGTGTTATTATGGAAGTGGTGGGGGAAATGTCCTCGTTGTGTCATCGTACTGACGCAAACATCGATGTATGTTCATACGTCTAATGGAGTACGCAGACACATATACATACTTGGTCGTCCGTCAGGATTCATACATATATAAACATATGTGGGCAGTTTCGGATATGACATATGTATGTATACGGGTGGTGTTGTGTCTATACATACGCATTTGTATGTTGAAATTCAAAGATTGGGAGTGTAGCGAAAATTTCTCGTGAATGTCTCGTGAATGTATACATGTCATATTTTCACTGAATAATATTTCCTCGCATGTATGTATATACGTGTGGTGGGGTTTGTGTAAAATAATGATAGGTAAAAATTATTATTATTTATATTTATTTTTAAATTTTTGAAAAAAAGGAGGGTTTATTTGTTATATTTAAAATTGGTTATTTGTTTGTTTTTGATGACTGTGTATATGTAACATGTAGAAATATGTTAGCTGTATCTCTGATATTGAGCGCTTTCTAATAAGTACCGCGCATATAATATATAAATAATTATATATATATATTTTATTTATATTTATATACACACACTTTTCATATATATATATATATATATATATATATATAAATGCAATCAATTTACAATATATGGGATTATATAATAAGAAAAACTAAAAAGGTTAAAATTTAAACGAGACATCCATCATCAATGTTTTTTTAATTATTGTAATTATTGAACAATATAGTTCATGCCACTTTGACAGAAAAAAATTTACCAGAAAAAAATTTGTTCATCACCATATTTTATAAGAGCACAACCATTAAAAAATTTAAAATCAAACTTTTCCTTCTTAAGTCGAAAAACAATAACTCATTTTCAAAGCATTTTCGGATACAACAATACATATATTTTCGTTGTCCTCTCTATTACTAAGAAAAAAACAAGAACAACATCTATTCTTTACTGAAGATGTCTGTAGGAACAGACTCTCTCTCTAGTAAAAATAAGAACTAATCAGATATTTATTTAAACACCCATTTCCATTCATAACGGATACGGAGTTTTTGTATATTATTTGAATTCTTTGCGATGATGGATGTCTCGCCATTTAAATCATTAACCTTTTGCAACTGTTGACGAATAATTCATTTTATATATATATATATATATATGGGAGGATATAATGAAGGAGAAAAGGCCTTAAAAATTAGCTCTCAATCGTTCAACAAATTTGTGCGGTTTTCCTCTCCCTCTCCAGATTTCCAGGGAAAAGTTTCCGATGAAGCTAAACACATATGAAACATTGACATTTTAATGATTTTCCTTCTTAGTCGAAGAACTTATTAGAATGTTCAAGTGTTCTTTTTTTTCTTTTCTACTTTCTTTTTCCTTTCTATCTTTCTTTTTTCTAATTTCTTTGTCTCTCTCTCTCTCTCTCACTTTCTTTTTTTTCTTTTTTCCATTTATCCTGTAGGAATTTCTTCACAGTCTTTCATTTTCCCACAACTAGAATTCTTTTGCAACTCACTGACGCCTGTTGACATCATTACATTATTTAGTATTCTTGAAGTTATCGCTGACATTTTTTTTTTTTTGAGATTTACAAAGTCTACGTTTCGTTTAATTTCGCAAACCAATCGATGAAAATTGAATAAGCTGATTTGCATGGGAAAATACTTTGACAAAACCCCTAAATCTCCGTTTAATACATTTTTAATTTAATTTATAGGACTTCATTAATGAAAATTTATTGTACTGAGCTACGAGTAAAACCAACTGTACTTTGTACCCCTTTACCTGTTTGTAATTTTCCCTCAAATTTGGTATTGACTGCTGAATGGTTATTTTAGAGGGTGTGACGGACGGACTGACAGAAATCACAGAATTATATATATAGATTTTGAAATATTCATTCTTTCTTTGTTTCTTTCCTTATTTCTTTTTTAATTTTTTCTTTCTTTCTTTTTCTACGTACTTATTCTTTCATTCATTCATTCATTCATTCTTTCTTTTTCTACTTTCTGTCTCTCCTGTTTTTCTTAGATTCTTTCTTTGCTTTTTCTTCTTTCTTTCTTTCTATTTTTGTCTCTCTGTCATTCTTTTCTTTTTACTTCCTTTCTTTCTTTCTTTCTATTTTTGTCTCTCTGTCCTGTTTTCTTTCATTCTTTCTTTTTCTACTTCCTTTCTTTCTTTCTTTCTATTTTTGTCCCTCTGTCCTGTTTTCTTTCATTCTTTCTTTTTCTACTTCCTTTCTTTCTTTCTTTCTATTTTTGTCTCTCTGTCCTGTTTTTCTTTAATTCTTTCATTGTTTTTCTACTTTCTTTCTTTTTTATTCAAGTATTCTGTTGGAATTAATACATATTTTTTCATTCTCTGTCTCTCTCTCTCTCTCTCTCTCTACTAGTTAACTAAGAAAACTGTTACAATGAGCTGACCGTGTTCAGAAAAAAAAAACTTTCCCATCTCTATAGATACACATATAAAAATATCTACATATTCAGTTTAAAATCATCTTTCATATTAGTTAATAGAATAACAGAACTCATTCGGATATATCGAACATTTGGACAGTTTTTACGTTCTTTAGATCCAGAAAAGAAAAAAAAAACTTGTAAAAAATCAAGAAAAATTTTAATCATAGTATCTTGCCACTCATCTTGTAAAATGTAATTTATAAAAAAAAAGACCGATTTCATATATATATATATATATATATATATATATATATATATATATATATATATATTGTGTATTTATGCAGCAATCCTTCTTTCATGTACATTTCATTGAATACGACAGACAAGGTGCTTTGATTTACTTTTTTATACCTTTTCTCATGTGATCTAACAGCAAAAAAAAAAAAAATTAGATTAATTATTTATTACAAAAAATTTAAAACCTCTAACCTTATAGTTAACAATAATAATTCACCATTTAGAACAAAATAAAATAGGATGAATATTATTTACGAATTCAAATGTCCATTAAGGAAATGTATTCCTGATCACTTAAAATTCGTAAATAATTATATAGGCCACACTACAACATGTTGGACACGCAGACTCACTCTACACCTTTCTGACCATAGCTCAATTAGATCTCATTTAAATATTCATGGAGACATACCGGGCACTACTTGTAACATACTTGTTGACAAAACTAATATAATAGCATCATCTACATGCAAAAAAAGGCTAAAAATAATGGAAGCCTTATTAATAAAAGCAAACAAACCCAACACTTAATAATATTAACTTTGAACATGGACACAATATCTTGACCGTGTTTTGAAAAATGAAAACATTTTATAAAACATACATACTACAAACTATTTCTTATTTAACAGTTAAAATATTTAATCCTTGAAAATGGCTAAATCTTATAAAAGCGCTCTCGGATAAAGAACATTCGGATAGTTTTTTATATAATTTATCATCCGAAAAAAGAAAAAAAATTATTAGATTATGAAATTGTATAAAAACTAAATAAAAAGCACATTGTCGGTCGTATTTAATAGTATATATATATATATATATATATATATATATTCTATCTATATTTCTGAGATGAGGTATTATAAGGGTTCAGTTCATTCCAACCCTGAAAGAAGGCCGGAGGTACAACGGCCGAAACGTTGTGATAAATATGGCGACAAAGATGAGGACAGTAGTCGAATAATGTAAATAATGGATATATATATATATATATATATATATATATATATATATATATATATATATATATATATATATATATATGGTAAACTTTTACTTCTTCATTACAGCAGTAATTTACAAAAACGTTAAATGAAAGTTCCTATTTTCACTGCAAACCAATAACTTGCAACTAGAAGATGGTTTTCTGTCGTTTACGTGACGGTATCGCAAGAGTCTATACTCACTTCTCCTGTTCTGTCTTCATGCCTGAGTTCACAGATTCACGGAGGCATACACTGACTTCCGGTTCCAGCAAAGTCGCGCATTGAAAAGAGAAAGATCCTTGTTTTTGTCATTCTGGGATTTGCCTCAGCTGATTAAAGCCTTTCATTTTTTTTTTTTTTTTTTTTTTAGGATGAGAAACGGATTTATTTTTAATTTAGATTTTTTTAGTTTTATTTATTTTTAAACTGCCACAAATATAACTGTTTCGTTGATTGCCTTTAAGCATATTTCCAGTATTCAAACGTGAATCTAGGGACGTTGATTTGAGATGAGAAAGAAAGCCGACAGAGGACTGAAAGCTGTCAAAATAAACAAGCAGATAGCGGCGTTAAAATCATCTTTGTGCAAATGGCGCCCATCACTATTCCGTTATATAAGTTCGATTACTTATCTCGTTTAAAATATTTTATTTTGACATCATGCTTAGCCAGAAATAACTGCGAAAATTTTACTGTTTTCCTATTTGAATTTTCTGATGGATCTTAATTCTTAAGTTACTGATTGAGTTAGCTTGTGGCGAGTTTTATGACAATAAAATATCTGTAGAAATTCTCCTATCACGCTATTAAATATTTGAGCTAAACTTTAACAAAATATTACAAAATATTGCACTAAAGATCATAAAGATGAATGCTGGTCATTATTTTAAGAAGTAAGGGGATACAAATAAAAACAACATTGACAACTATTTTCATTTCACTAAAACAGCCGCTAAACACTTCTATCTTCCTTTCTGTCTTTCTTGCTTTCTTTCTTTCTTTCTTTCTTTCTTTCTTTCATTCTTATGACTTTTGTTTTTCTACGCAATTAAAACGGAATAGTCCATAAATTATCAGGTATTGTCAGGAGACATTAAACTCTTCTCTCTTCTCATCATTCTTTCTTTCTTTCTTTCTTTCTAGAGAAATCCCCATTTTGCGAAGATGAGAGTTTGATATGCCGTAGAACAAACCAAACTAAACCAAACCAGCATGTTTCTTCGGTAGTAATTCAGTAAACCGTACCCCAGAATGAAGCAATTAGCGAAGAGGCAATAATTTTTTAAAAAGTGAAGAAAGATGTTTTAGTAGTGAGAGAGAGAGAAGAGAGAGCAAGGCGAAGGAAGAGAGGGTTTTATGAAATTTTTGTACGTGGTGCAATGTGGGGCGTATCTTTCAGGATGTGGGTGTTAGTGTTTACAGAATGTGGGTGAGGCTAAGTATTAAAAAAATCATATAGTATTATTAAGAAGATATTACCTTTCAGAACATGGGATGGTTCTACTCCACAATTTCTATTTTTATTGTAAATGTGCATTTATAATCCGCCGACAAAGATAAATCTTAAAAAATCTACCTCGTCCGTTTTGCTTTTCTCGATCTTATATTGATCTGCTTGTTTGCATGCAAGTGTCGATCCATATTTAGAGCGTGGTGCGATGTTTTGGCATTCCTTATCGCCCAAGCCCTATATTCCCCCATGTTTTTAACAAGAGTGCGGATGGGAGTGTGGAATCTTCGTTTTAGTTCGGAGTTGTCCAATGACGACGAAGGAACCGGCAGACAGATGGCGCTCTTTTCTTGTTTACATCTTTTGGCGGTCGCGTCTTACATGTCGCTAGAGCATCCGCCCTCATCCAAAACTGAACTTAAATGCCATTCCACCTTTTCAAAGATTCCTTGTTTTGGGCCTTTTTTTTTTCTTTCTTTTTTGCACTTTAAGAGTTTCCGCATTTCTTTCATTCGCTTCTTTGCTTATTTTCCTTCCTTCATTCATTCTTTCTTTCTTTTTTACTCGTTCATTCTTACTTTCATGTTGTTTCTTTTTTACTCTTTCATTCTTACTTTCATTTTCTTTCGTTTTTACTCTTTCATTCTTAATTTCATTTTCTTTCTTTCTTACTCTTTCATTCTTACTTTCATTTTCTTTTGTTTTTACTCTTTCTTTCTTACTTTCATTTTCTTTCTTTTTTATTCTTTCATTTTCTTTCTTTTTCTTTCATTCTTTCATTTTGTTTTTTTTATTCTTTCATTCTTTCATTTTCTTTCTTTCTTACTCTTTCATTCTTATTTTCATTTTGTTTCCTTTTTACTCTTTCATTCTTACTTTCATTTTCTTTCTTTTTTACACTTTCATTTTCTTTCTTTTTTATTCTTTCATTCTTACATTCTATTTGTTTCCTTTTCACTCTTTCATTCTTACTTTAATTTTCTTTCTTTTTTACTCTTTCATTTTGTTTTTTTTATTCTTTCATTCTTTCATTTTGTTTCTTTTTTACTCTTTCATTCTTACTTTCATTTTCTTTCTTTTTTATTCTTTCATTCTTTCATTTTTTTCTTTTTTATTCTTTCATTCTTATTTTCATTTTGTTTCTTTTTTACTCTTTCACTCTTACTTTCATATTGATTCTTTCTTACTCTTTCATTCTTACTTTCATTTTCTTTCGTTTTTGCTCTTTCATACTTACTTAATTTTTCTTTTTACGCTTTCATTCTTTTTCATTTTTCTTTCTTTTACCCTTTCATTTGTTTCTTTTTTATTCTTTCATTCTTAATTTCATTTCTTTTTTTTTACTTTTCATTCTTACTTTCATTTTCTTTCTTTTTAGGCCTTAATCTTGTTTCTTTTTTATTGTTTCATTCTTTCATTTTGTTTCTTTTTTATTCTTTCATTCTTACTTTCATTTTCTTTCTATTTTACTCTTTATTTTTTACTTTCATTTTCTTTCTTTTTTTACTCTTTCATTCTTACTTTCATTTTCTTTCTTTTTTACGCTTTCATTTTCTTTCTTTTTTATTCTTTCATTGTGTTTCTTTTTTATTCTTTCATTCTTACTTTCATTTTCTTTCTTTTTTACTCTTTCATTTTGTTTCTTTTTTACGCTTTCATTCTTACTTTCATTTTCTTTCTTTTTTACCCTTTCATTTTGTTTCTTTTTTTATTCTTTCATTCTTAATTTCATTTTGTTTCTTTTTTACTCTTTCATTCTTACTTTCATTTTCTTTCTTTTTTAGGCCTTAATCTTGTTTCTTTTTTTATTGTTTCATTCTTTCATTTTGTTTCTTTTTTATTCTTTCATTCTTACTTTCATTTTCTTTCTATTTTACTCTTTATTTTTTACTTTCATTTTCTTTCTTTTTTTACTCTTTCATTCTTACTTTCATTTTCTTTCTTTTTTTACTCTTTCATTCTTACTTTCATTTTCTTTCTTTTTTTACTCTTTCATTCTTACTTTCATTTTCTTTCTTTTTTACGCTTTCATTTTCTTTCTTTTTTATTCTTTCATTGTGTTTCTTTTTTATTCTTTCATTCTTACCTTCATGCTGTTTCTTTCTTACACTTTCATTCTTTCATTTTGTTTCATTCTTATTCTTTCATTCTTACTTTTATTTTCATTCTTTCTTTTTCTAATCTTCTTTCTTTCTTCCTTTCGAATTTTATCCATTTGTTTCTTTCGAACTTTTCTTCCTTTTTCTTTTTCATTCTTTCTCTCTATTCTTATCTCTTTCTTTCGTTATTTTCTTTTCATCTCTTTGTTTTTATTACTTTCTTCAGTTTATATTCATTGAGTTATGGATTTACTCACGTCCTTGTTTTGTTATGAAAAAATTTACAATAGTCGTTCATTCATTCTTCCGATGTTTTCTACTTTCTTTTACTTTCTTGTTTCTCTTCTTCTTTCTTTCTACCTTCTTTCTTTTTCTTTCTTCTTTCTCTTCTTCTTTCTTTATTTCTTCTTTCTCTTCTTTTTTTCTTTCTTCTTTCTCTTCTTTCTTTATTTTTTACCTTCTTTCTATTTCTTTCTTCTTTCTCTTCTTTCTCTATTTCTTCTTTCTCTTCTTTTTCTTTCTTTCTTCTTTCTTTATTTCTTTTTACCTTCTTTATTCTTCTTTCTCTTCTTCTTCCTTTATTTCTTCTTTCTCTTCTTTTCTTTCTTTCTTCTTTCTTCTCTTCTTTCTTTATTTCTTCTTTCTCTTCTTTTACTTCCTTTCTTCTTTCTCTTCTTTTTCTTCCTTTCTCTTATTTCTTCCTTCTTTCTCTTCCTTTTATTCCTTTCTTCTTTCTCTTCTTCTTTCTTTATTTCTTCTTTCTCTTCTTTTTCTTTCTTCTTTCTTTCTTTCTTTCTTCTTTCTCTTTTTTCTTTCTTTCTTCTTTGTCTTCTTTCTTTCTTTCTTCTTTCTCTTCTTTTTCTTTCTTTTTTCTTTCTCTTCTTTCTTTTTTTCATTTTACCTTCTTTTTCTCTCGTTTTTCTTTTTGTTGTCCCTTTTTGACGTGTTTTTTTATATTAACACTTTCTTTTTTTTTCTACGGTATTTACTTTTTCTTTACTTCATTCTTTCCTCCTTCCTTTCTTTGTTTTTTTTTTCTTTCTTAGTTTTTTTATTCCTTAAGTTAATTACGTCATTGATTTTTATGTAATTATAAAATATTCTTTTTTTCTTTTTTCTTTTATTGCTTTCTTTTTTCTTTTCTTTTTTATTGCATTCTTTTTTCTTTTATTCTTTATTCTTTTCTTTCTTTCTTTTTTCTTTATTCATTTCTTTTCTTCTCTTTCTTTTCATTGCATTCTTTTTTCTTTTATTTTTGCTTTCTTTCTTTTTATTTACTTCTTTGTTGCTTTCTTTTTTCTTCTTCATTGTTTTCCTCGTTTTCTTTTCTTCTTCATTGCTTTCTTTCTTTTTTCTATTCTTTGTAGATATATTTCTGTTTTCGTTTCTTCTATATTACTTTCTTTCTTTCTCTTTTCCTCCTTATTGTTTCTTCCTTCTTTTCTTCCTTTTTATTTTATTTTCTTTTTTCTTTGCTTTTTTGTTTTTCTTTCTTTTTTCTTTACTTCTTCGTTGCTTTCTTTAATTTCGTTGTTGATTTCGTTCTTTTCCTTTTCTTCTTTATTTCGTACTTTTTTCTTTTCTTCTTCATTGCTTTCTTTCTTTTTTTCTTTTCTTCTTCATTGCTTTCTTTCTTTTTTTCTTTTCCTCTTCATTGCTTTCTTTCTTTTTTCTTTTCTTCTTCATTGCATTCTTTCTTTTTTCTTTTCTTCTTCATTGCTTTCTTTCTTTTTTTCTTTTCCTCTTCATTGCTTTATTTCTTTTTTTCTTTTCTTCTTCATTGCTTTCTTTCTTTTTTCTTTTCTTCTTCATTGCTTTCTTTCTTTTTTTCTTTTCTTCTTCATTGCTTTCTTTCTTTTTTCTTTTCTTCTTCATTGCTTTCTTTTTTTTCTTTTCTTCTTCATTGCTTTCTTCTTTTTCTTTTTTTCATTTGCTTTATTTCTTTTTCTTTTTCTTCTTCATTGCTTTATTTCTTTTTTTCTTTTCTTCTTCATTGCTTTCTTTCTTTTTTCTTTTCTTCTTCGTTGCTTTTTTTTTTCTTCTTCATTGCTTTCTTTCTTTTTTCTTTTCTTCTTCATTGCTTTCTTTCTTTTTTCTTTTCTTCTTCATTGCTTTCTTTCTTTTTTCTTTTCTTCTTCATTGCTTTCTTTCTTTTTTCTTTTCTTCTTCATTGCTTTCTTTCTTTTTTCTTTTCTTCTTCATTGCTTTATTTCTTTTTTTCTTTTCTTCTTCATTGCTTTCTTTCTTTTTTCTTTTCTTCTTCGTTGCTTTTTTTCTTTTCTTCTTCATTGCTTTCTTTCTTTTTTCTTTTCTTCTTCATTGCTTTCTTTCTTTTTTCTTTTCTTCTTCATTGCTTTCTTTCTTTTTTCTTTTCTTCTTCATTGCTTTCTTTCTTTTTTTTTTCTTCTTCTTTCTTTTTCTTTCTTTTTCTTTTTCTTCTTCTTTTGCTTTTTTTTCTTTTTTCTTTTCTTCTTCATTGCTTTCTTTCTTTTCTTTTCTTCTTCATTGCTTTCTTTCTTTTTTTCTTCTTCATTCTTTTTCTTTTTTTCTTTTCTTCTTCATTGCTTTCTTTCTTTTTTCTTCTTTTTTTTTCTTTTTTTTCTTCTTTCTTTCTTTTTCTTTTCTTCTTCATTGCTTTTTCTTTCTTTTTTTCTTTTTTCTTCTTCATTGCTTTCTTTCTTTCTTTTTCTTTTCTTCTTCATTGCTTTTTCTTTCTTTTTTTTCTTTTCTTCTTCATTGCTTTCTTACTTTTTTCTTTTCTTCTTCATTTGCTTTTTCTTTTTTCTTTTCTTCTTTTTGCTTTTTTTTCTTTTTTTCTTTTTCTTCTTGCTTTCTTTTTCTTTTTTCTTTTCTTCTTCATTGCTTTCTTTCTTTTCTTTTCTTCTTTTTTGCTTTCTTTCTTTTTCTTTTCTTTTTCTTTCTTTTTTCTTTTCTTCTTTTGCTTTCTTTCTTTTCTTTTCTTCTCCATTTTCATTTCTTTTCTTTTCTTTTTCATTGCATTCTTTCTTTTTCTTTTTCTTCTTCTTTTTCTTTCTTTTTTTCTTTTTCTTTTCTTTTCTTCTTGCTTTCTTTTCTTTTTCTTTTCTTCTTCATTGCTTTTTTCTTTTTCTTCTTCATTGCTTTCTTTCTTTTTCTTTTCTTCTTCATTTTTTTCTTTTTCTTTTTTTTCTTCTTTTTGCTTTCTTTTTCTTTCTTTTCTTTTTTTTTTTTTTCTTTCTTTTCTTCTTTTAGCTTTCATTCTTTTTCTTTTCTTTTTGCTTTCTTTTTTTCTTTCTTTCTTTTTTCTTTTCGTTTTCTTTTTTTTTTCTTTTCTTCTTTGTTGCTTACTTTCTTTTTTCTTTTTTCTTCATTTGCTTTCTTTCTTTTTTTTCATTACTTTTTTTCTTATATTCGTTTTCTTCTTTTCTTTTTCTTCTTTTTGCTTTTTCTTTCTTTTTCTTCTTCTTTTTTTTCTTTTTTTTTCTTCTTTTGCTTTTTTACCGTTCTTATGTTCTTTTCTTCTTTTTCTTTCTTTTTTCTTTCTTCTTTTTTCTTTTCCCCTTTCTATCTTTTCTTTTTTTTTCTTTTATTTTTTCTTCTTCTCTTTCTTTTCTTCTTTCTTTTTGCATTCTTTTATCTTTTTTTTTTTTCTTTATTGTTATTTTTTCCTTTTTCTTATTTCTTTTTTCTTTTCTTTTTTTCTTTTTTTTTTTTGCTTTCTTTTTTTCTTCTTTTGTGTTCTTTTGCTTTTTTTTTTTTTTTTCTTCTTCTTTTTTTTTTTTTTCTTTATTTTTTCTTCTTTTCTTCTTTTTTTCTTCATCTGCTACTTTTTTCTTTTCTTTTTTTTTTTTTTTCTTTTTGCCTTCTTTTTATCTTTTTTTTATTTTCTTTTATTGTTTTTTTCTTTTGTTTTTTTTTTCTTGTTTTCTTTTTTTCTGTTCTTGATTTCGTTTTTTTCTTTTTTCTTCTTTCTTTTCTTTTCTTTTTTTTTGCTTTTTTTCTTTTTCTTTTCTTCTATGAATCTTATTTTTTTTTTTTCTTTATTGCATTTTACCATTTATTTTTTATTTTTGTTTTCTTTTCTTTTCATTGTTTCTTTTCCTCTTGATTGTTTCTTCCTTTTTCTTTTTTTCTTCATTTCTTTATCTGTCTATATTTTTTTTTATTATCTACTTTTCGTTACTTTTTTACTTTCCATTGTTTTTCCTTCATTCAGTATCTGTCTTTATTTCTTTTCTTATTTGTACGCTTTTTACATTATTCTTTATTGTCCCCATCTTTGTCGCCATATTCATCCAATCCTTCGGTATCTATCTATATTTGTGTTCTTTATTTTTTGCTATTTACATTATTCGGACTTTTGTCACCTCATCTTTTGTCTTTCATATTTATCCGATCCTTCAGTATCTTTCTATTTTTCTGAGATGGGTATCTTTTTACTTTCTTTCTATTATTTTTGTTTTTTATTTCTTTGTCGCCATATTTATCCGATTCTTTGGTATCTGTCTATATTTCTGAGATGAGGTATTATGTACAATATTTCATTTGTTTCATATTTTTTTCTGTCTATGTTTGATTTATTGTTCCCACATTATTTGGACTATTGTCCTCATCTTTTTCTTCTTCTATTCTTTTTATCTGTCTATATTTCTGAGATGAGGTATTATGTATACTATTTACTTTATTCGGACTATTGTCCTCATCTTTGTTGCCATATTTTTCCGATCCTTCAGTATCTGTCTATATTTCTGAGATGAGGTATTATGTACAATATTTACATTATTCGGACTATTGTCCTCATCTTCCTTGCCATATTTATCCGATCCTTCAGTATCTGTCTATATTTCTGAGATGAGGTATTATGTACACTATTTACATTATTCGGACTATTGTCCCCATCTTTGTCACCATATTTATCCGATACTTCAGTATCTGTCTATATTTCTGAGATGAGATATTATTTACACTATTTACATTATTCGCACTATTGTCCTCATCTTTCTTGTCATATTTATAACAACGTTTCGGCCGTTGTACGCTCCGGCCTTCTTCAGGTGTTTGGAATGTCGAACTGAACCCTTTATTTCGCTCACTGGGGTAGACTGTTCTAGTTCCACGTGCCATGTCTAATGGATGTCAGTTATCAGTTATCTCCTGTTAATTTCCCTCTGAAAAAATTATAGACCTAATGTCTTCGCAGATATCTCTCTCGCTGAATGACTGTCTAAGAAGAAGATGAACTTTGCCTGTAGTTTTCATTTATTTTATTTTATTTTTTGATCGTTAATTTTTGGCCAGTCCTTGTATTGGTAATAATTATTAAGGAGTATATGTGTGAGTATGTGTATGTGGGAGACCTCAACATCTCTTCAAGCATGTTTGTCAGGTGTAGATGTCTAGCATATATGTATATATATATTTTTTAATTTTAATTTTAGATCAGCGAATCTGTAGTGATTCCTGCCTCTGAAAATAATTCAGGTTATCTGTCTCACTCATTTGAACCGTTGTTGCTCCTCCTTAAAAGCTTCTCTCTGTTAAATTTTAATCCCCACCTTCACCTTTAGGCCTTCCCTGTTCTTCTTTCTTCTGTTCAACCCTCTCTAGGTTTTTCATACATTCCCTCTCACACTTGTTTCCCACTCCCCTTCCCTCTCCTAAAATTTTTTTTTTTATACAGTGTAACCCGGATATAAAGACCGGATATAAGAGAAACCCGGATATAAGAGATTTTCTCTGGTCCCCTGTGTTAATGTATATAAAATAGACTAAACCCGGATATAAGAGAAACCCGGATATAAGAGACTTCTCCGGTCCCGGCAACTCTCTTATATCCGGGTTGCACTGTATATATATGTACAGTGTAACCTGAATATAAGAGACCCGCATATGAGAGAAACCCGGATATAAGAGAGATTTTCTTTGGTCCCAAATTAGAGACTGTGTTAATGTATATAAAATAGACCAAACCCGGATATCAGAGAAACCCGGATATAAGAGAGATTTTCTCTGGTCCCCAAGCAGAGCCTGTGTTAATGTTTATAAAATAGACTTAACCCGGATATAAGAGAAACCCGGATATAAGAGACTTCTTCTCCGGCCCCGACAACTCCCTTATATCCGGGTTACACTGTACTGCGTTCTTTTTGAATTTATAGGTCTGATGATTTGGATTGTAATTACGATTCCAATGTAATAAATTATAACCATGGAATATTAGTGTTTGGGCCTTTTATATTATATATATATATATACTACTCGACTCTCCCGTCGAATTCGACGTATGAGGGTCAAGCAGATCTGTTCCTAGGAAACCGACAGCCCGACAACAGCACATGATTATAGTGGTGAAGGTTTCGTGCAGGACCAGCGACACTTTTTGAAGGGCCGAATACGTGCCACAAGGTCCCCAAACGACCCTCCGCAGGTTTTGAATTCAGAGTTGTCCTTCTCCTAGACCAGTCGACATTCAAGGCTATAGAACCCAGTATGTTCTGCTATTTACCCTTAGCTGGAGGGAGAAGAATAGGATTCACACCTTTCCCAAGGGTATTAGCATGTAAGTGAATGTAATGGATTCGACTGGATTTCGAACTCAGCTCTCTGATTCCTCAATCCAAGCCGCTATCCATTACTCTCTCTCTCTCTCTCTCTCTCTCTCTATGCCTATATATATATATATATATATATATATATATATATATATATATATATATATATAGTAATAGGTTTGTCCTTAGCTGATTGATGTTAACTTCAGGATTCCGACTCCACAGTTTCGTAGACGGGCCCCTCGTGAATTATACCGTCCACTGGTCAGGTGGTATCAACAATTGACTGTTTATACTTTTTTATATGTACTTTTCATTGGTGTAAGTTAATTTTTATACTGTAGGGGGCCTCTATATATGTACATGTTACCTCAAAAATATATTTTTTTCTGCCTTCACACACGACACAACGCTGGTCTATCTCAGAAGAATACAAAGTCAATATTAGAATCTATTCTTATAAACTCTTATATAGCATTACCTTTTTCCCAATTCTCATTGATTTCCTTTTAATATTCGTTTTTGTTTAAGTTTTGCGTACGAGATCTGAGCCGATATAAACTAGGAAATGTCCCAACGAGAGATGTGTATTCTTTAAATAGGTAAATTGAGGACTGCTCTATTATCATGGCTACCTGTGACAAATTTCGTGTAGGTACGTATCGGCTATAGTCTCTGGTCCGGCAAAATGGGAAACAGGTTCGATGCCGAACGTGAGGAACATTTTTTTCTTTAGAATGTCTTCTCGATCCAGGCTAGTTGAAAATTTTAAATAAATAAATTAAAAGACAGAGATCTCAATTCAAACTCTAGGTGGATGACCGCTTGTAAATAGCAGGTGCTGTAAGACTGGGTGTGCGGGTGGTTTAATTGACAGCGATTCAGAATTGAAAATCGGGGACCCGAGTTCCAAATCTATCAGGCCATCCCATAAGTTCTGTCCGAATTTTGAATAAAGAAAATAAGTGACCAAATGTTACATTTAATTACAAATTCAATCAACAATGTATTTTCCCTGATTATCTATGACTTCCTTCCATCTATTAACAAGCTTACTAATTCCATTACTGTAAAATTCTTTTGGCTTTGATTCGAAGAACTCACAAATGTCAGTTTTAACCTCTTCCTGTGTTACAAAGCTGTTTCTTCAAATGATTCTGTAAGCTACGAAAATGGTAGTCTGAAGAAGCAAGATCGGGAGAATAAGGTGGATGAGGAATTTTCTCCCAACCAAGTTCTTCGATCTTTTGTGACGTGATTCTTGCTGTGTGGGGTCGTGCATTGTCCTGATGAAACATCACCTCTTTTCGATTCACTAGAGCAGGTCTTTTTTCCTCAAAGCTTGGTTCAAACGCTCTAATTGCTGACAGTATATTTGAGCATTAATTGTTGCATTAGGTGGTAAGAATTTAAAGTGGATTATTCCTTGGCGATCCCACCAGACTGAAGAAGAACCTTTTGCCCATGAAGTTCCTTCTCGGCTGTGTCTGGGGTCCTTCCTTTACCAAGCCACTGTATACGACCTTAACATTTCGATAAAAGATCCATTTTCGTCGCCAGTCACAAGTCTATCCAAAAAGGTGAAACAAGTTGGCGAGAATGGAGAGAAGAGCAGATGTCAACTCGGGATTTGAGGTTGTTTTCAGACAATTCATGAGGCACCCATTTTCCAAGTTTAGGAACTTTTCCAAGTTGTTGAAGATGACGATGAACAGTTGTATGGTTTGAACTGAGAACCACTGCCAATTCCTCAACTGATAAAGCAGGATTTTCTTCAAGCGCTGCTTCAAGAAGCTTTTCATCAAACTCAACTGGACATCCGGTTCGATCTTCATCTTCAAGAGTGAAATCTCTACCTCTGAATTTTGCATACCATCTTCTGCGAGTTCTTCCAATCCACACATTCCTCCCCATAAACTGAGTGAATGTTTCTAGCCGCTTCGGCTGCTGAGTTTCCTTTCTTGAATTCATAAAGCATTATGTGCCTCAAATGATTCTTGGGTACTTCCATGTTAGCAGGGTTTTAATCAAACAAAATTTAATTTTATTGTTCTCTGAAATAAAATTTGATCAGTTTAAATGCATCTAAACATAACATAATGATCAGCTCCATTAGACATTATAAAATACTCTTTAAATTCGTTCATTTTAAAAAAAAGGTAAAATTCGGAGAGAACTTATGGGTTGACCTGATAGTTAGATTCTTTATATTCACTTAACGCGCAAATATCTTTCGGAAGCGTATGAAGCCATATCTTTACCCCAGTAATAGGTTAATTAGTAGGACATGTACCATTAAAATAATTATTATTCCCCCACCAAATTCTTACAATGTAAAAATGTTTTCTAGCTTGAAATAACTTTAGGATAACAAATTATATTACGTTGTTTTGTAAGCAATTACGGTTTAAGGGGCATTGCTTACAAAACAACGTTATATACCAAGCCAAGATGAAATCACCAGATAATGAAGAAAAAGTATACATTGGAGTAACCAAGGGGCCCTGGAAAAAAAGAAATTATACACACAAAACATCTTTCACAAATAGTAAATACGCGAAGAGCACAATGCTTTCTAATTATATCTGGGAAATTAAAAATAAAACGCACATCACACCAAAAATATCTTGTAAAATAAAGAAAAGATCATCAGTCTACAACAACCAATCCCAAACTTGCAAACTTTGCTTGGAGGAAAAAATAGCTATCATTACCTTCCCAGACTACTTCGATCAGTTCATTATCTGTCTAAAAAATAGTCAGTGGTGCATTGTGGGTACTCTAACAAATGGTTAGGATAACAAATATCTTTCTGTAAGCGTATGAATCCACCCACCAGTTATGGGTTAATCAGTGGGACATGTACCAGTAAAATAATTATTACTCCCAACACACACAATTCTTACAATCTAAAAATGTTTTCTAGCTTGAAATAATCAGCAAAAAATGTTTATTAGCCGTAAAAAAACAATCTCGTGGTTAAAACGTGATTATATATATAAATATATGTTCAACTGTAAATAATAAAAATTATTGCCATTAAACGATGTAAAAGTTCAGACTAATATCCTTATCACTCCGGGTTTTTTTCTTAAAATATTTGAACGAGTATCCTAATCTTCATTGTTTCGAGCACTAGGTTTTTGTCGATGGGGTTTCCGGCGTTTCTTAATATTTTTTAAAATCACGAAATGCTTGTGAATTTGTGTAAATTTGAGTATCAATTTGTCAATTTATTTTTTTCAACCCTGAATAATACTTTCCCAGAAAGTTTTCTTTTTTTAAGATGATAAGATAACATCAGGGTATTGAGTTTCATGGGCCTGAAGTCTCTTCTGATTCCACGGACGTGTCTTTTTGAAATATGATACAGCCAACGGTCTCTCGGCAATCAGTGCGATCGAATTTCAGCCCCAGTCTCAGACACATGCTTTTTGTCGGAAAACATTGATGCCAAGGGAAATGGCACAGAAAGGAATGGTTACTTTTCTTTGTTTATTTAGTTGTTTTTCTTGCAATATTTATTCTTTCTCTCACTTTTTAACAGTCTTTTGTTCTATCTATCGATCAGTTCATTATCTATCTATCTATCTATCTATCTATCTATCTATCTCAGTCTTCTTTCTGTTTATCTCAGTCGGTTCATATCTATCTATCTATCTATCTATCTATCTATATATATATATATATATATATATATATATATCGATCAGTTCATTATCTATCTAACGCGATCTGTTCTTTCTTTGTATCTATCTACTTGATCAGTTCATAATCTATCTATCTATCTATCTATCTATCTCTATTCAATATCTATCTATCTATCTATCTATCTATCTATCTATCTATCTATCTATCTATCTATTTAGATTTGTTCATTATGCACCTTTTTTCTATATATCATATATATATATATCTATCTATCGCGATCTGTTCATTATCTATCTATCTATCTATATATATATATATATATATCGCAATTTGTTTATTATCAATATTTTTGTATCTATCTATATATAGCGATCTGTACTTTCTTTCTTTGTATCCATCTATCGCGATCTGTTCATTATCCATCCTTCTTTCTTTCTTTCTTTCTTTCTATCTATCTATCTATCTATCTATCACGATCTGTTCATTGTCCATCTTTCTTTCTTTCTTTCTATCTATCTATCTATCTATCTATCTATCTATCTATCTATCACGATCTGTTCATTGTCCATCTTTCTTTCTTTTCTTTCCTCTATATATCATTCATCTATCTATCTATCTATCTATCCATTCATATCATCACGATCTGTTCATTGTCCATCTTTCTATTTCTTTCTTTCTTTCTTTCTTTCTTTTTTCTTTCATCTATCTATCTATCTATCACGATCTGTTCATTGTCCATCCTTCTTTCTTTTCTTTCTTTCTTTCTTTCTATCTATCCATATGTATATATATATATATATATACACAAAGAGAGAATTATATTCACGCACACATACACACATTCACACACAGATACAGAAACAGACTGATATATTTACACACACGCATACACAGACACATATATTCACACATATACAAATCAGACACATATATTCGTTCACACCCATAAACAGACACATATATTGACACAGACATGCACATACACAAACAGACACATATTCACACGCATACGTATATTCAATATACCAACAAAAGTACAAGTGACTTATCTCAGCTTTGCGTCGAAATAGGTGATGTTTGAAAAAATATACATCTATCTATCTATCTATCTATCTCTGTTTCTCCCTCTGTTTCTCTCGATCCCTTTCCCTCTCTCACTCTCTCTTTCTCTCTCTTTATATATATACATATATTTGTATATTTAGTCAGGCAAATTCTCTTTGAGGCATGTCTGATTGAATAAATTACAAATATGTCTGCTTATTTTAATCATAATCCTTTCATATTCACGAATATTTTTCCGTATATGACAATTGAATAAGGCAAGAAGTGTGAATCATTTTTATTTCTCAAGTACTTGAGAAATAAAAGTGATACTCACTGTTACAGTGCATTTCTTGCCTTATTTTAATCATAATCCTTTCATATTCACGAATATTTTTCCGTATATGACAATTGAATAAGGCAAGAAGTGTGAATCATTTTTATTTCTCAAGTACTTGAGAAATAAAAGTGATACTCACTGTTACAGTGCATTTCTTGCCTTATTTTAATCATAATCCTTTCATATTCACGAATATTTTTCCGTATATGACAATTGAATAAGGCAAGAAGTGTGAATTACTTGAGAAATAAAAGTGATACTCACTGTTACAGTGCATTTCTTGCCTTATTCAATTGTCATATACATTTACCGGCCTGAATGTTATTTAATACTGTTTATTATAAACAGAGTATTTACTTAAATACTTGTATCTATAAAAAAGAACGTTAAACATAAAAATGTCTTTAATAAATAAATTGTCGGACTTTGTCCATTTCTTTAATATATATATATATATATATATATATATATATAGAGAGAGAGAGAGAGAGAGAGAGAGAGTGAGAGCGAGAGCGAGAGAGAGAGCACTCAGACTCACAGCACATGGTTAAGAGAGTTAACAAAAAGGCAAAATATATTAAGAGCTACAATGGAGAGGATATTGGGGAGCGACATGATCGCTTACGTCCTGAAAAATGAAACACTGACCCAGTTAGGAAAAACGATAGCTTTAAAAAGAGAAAACAAAATCAAGATCCAACCTGGAAAATGGCCGATCGATTGATAACTTTTGAGGCCAGGTTAGAAGTAGGGAGAAAAAAAAGGAAAGTCTGATTAAAAAGAAAAAAAAATGAAGTTTAGGGAATTCTGAGGGTAATCCGCTTGTGGAAGGGAATCGTGCCTTGGAATGTAGAGGAAATTATTCAAAAATTAAAGTGGAACTTCAAAAAAAAAAAAAAAGATGGCGCCAAGAATGCCGAATCCACCAAAATACACTCATGACCTTTTATTTATTTATTTATTTTTTGGTAATTTCTGGAATCTTGTTGTTATGATCAGTGAAGTAATTCTCAATGCTGGTATTTTTAGAGTTCGACTGGAATGCTCTAAGAGGATTAATTCTTTAAAGCCGAAATGGTAATATTTTGTCTTTGTCAGAATTCAAACAGCACCGCTGCCGCCGCCACCACCACCATCCAGTCGGTGAACCTTTAATTGTTTATCTCACAGACGGTTTGAAATTAGGCAGTCAGCCTCCGAAAATATTTACGTTGTTCTGGTTCAGGAAAGAGAAGTATTCATTGCGCATGCGTCTGGGGGGATCAGTCATTGATTCTGCATCATCATCATCTTCAGTCTCATGATCGAGGGTGGCCGTAGAGACGCTGCTCAGCTGATACACGTGAACCGTTCCCTCCACATATGTTATAGTGGAAGACGCCTATTCTATAGTTAATAGACTCTCCCACCTATAATAAGTCAGAGTAACAAGGGGCTCGCTCATTGGGTCGGGCAGTCAGTCGATGCCGGGCGACCGTTAGTCGGATACTAGAAGTATCAGCGACCACAACTAGATTTACTCTGCGTCATTACCTATTATATCAAGTGCCTAACGTTTTGTACGTCGAACCTATTTTAGGACCGACTTAGTACAAATACAAGCCTCCACTGTGAAACCACGCCATAACAACATACCAGGGTCGAAAGATGTTATTTTTTTTTTGTTGTTGTTTGTTTCTTTGAGCAATTTGACCTGACGGTGCCCATCTCTCTGCAGGTCAAAACAACTCTTCTTACTAATAACTGCATTGCTTCTTTCCAGGTGCGAGGCTGGGCTGAAAAGTTCATAGTCTGACTATGAAGGAGTCAAGTTAGAGCCGCGAAATCTTGCATGCATTCATTCCAACTCTTCTTCTTAATATCTGATTTGTTTCTGGCCAGTTAAACTGACATCAGATTCTTCAAAGAAGAATTCAAAAGAAGAGTTCAAAAATAACAAGTAACGACTACTTTTGAAAATGGACAAAATTTGTCATCGGAACTGAACTTTTCAGCCCATTCTCGCACATGGAAAGAAACAATGCAGTTATTAATAAGGAGAGTTGAAATTAATGCATGCAAGTTTTCATAACTCTAGGATCACTCCATTATAATCAGCCTATGAAAATTTCAGCCCACCCTCGTACCGGGAATGAAACACCGTAGTCATTAATAAGAAGAATTGGAATGAATGCATGCAAGATTTCACAGCTCTAGCATCACCCCTTCATAGTCAGCCTATGGACATTTCAGCCCACCCTCGTACGTGGAAAGAAACAATGCCGTTATTAATAAGAAGAGTTGAAATTAGTGCATATGTCCGGTTTTATGATAGGGTCAAATAGGTAAATATAATTTCAGTTGACACTTTAGCCAACAAAAGAAACATAGGCACGATTTACACGAGTGTCAGAAAGACATAAGTTCGATTTACACTTGAATCAAAAAGAAAGAAAAAGGAAAGACAGAAGTGTTTAACGTCTCCTGCCAATCCCTCATAAATAATGGACTATTCCGTTTTGATCACGTGGAAAAGGGTATATAGAAGTACTTAACGGCTGTTTCAGTGAAATGTAAAAAAATTTGCCAATTTTAAATCTTTTCATTTTTACCCACTGCTTAAAATAAAAACCAGCATTCATATCTATGATTGCTGTTGCAATATTTTGTTAAAGTTATTCGGCTCAAATATTTAATGATGCGATAGGGGAACTTATTCAACTGAAGAATTTAAGATTCATCAGATTCATCAGAAAATTCAAATACGAAAACACGTGACGTTTTCTACATGTCTTCCTAATATATATAAACAAGTAGAATTATATATGTCTATATTCCTGAGATGAGGTATTATATACACTATTTACTATTGTCCTCATCTTTGTAGCCATATTTATCCGATCCTTCAGTATCTGTCAATATTTCTGATATTGATATGAGGTATTATGTACACTATTTACATTATTCAGACTATTGTCCTCATCTTTGTTGCCATATTTATCCAATCCTTCAGTATCTGTCTATATTTCTGATATTGAGATGAGGTATTATGCACACTATTTACATTATTCGGACTATTGTCCTCATCTTTGTCGCCATATTTATCCGTTCCTTCAGTATCTGTCTATATTTCTGAGATGAGGTATTATGTACACTATTTACATTATTCGGACTATTGTCCTCATCTTTGTCGCCATGTTACCGTTATATGCTCCGGCTTTCTTCAGGTGGTTGGAATGTCAAGGACACATGGCATAGTGGATAAAGGCGTTAGTTAGATCCAGTGACAGGACCCAAAGAGTATGAGATCAATACCTGGTTAAGGCGGTGGAGAACCTTGAGAGGGGGGTTAGCAGGAGATAACTGGCATCCATTAGGCATGGCACATGGAACTAAAACAGTCTACCCCAGTGAGCGAAATAAAAGGTTCAGTTCGACATTCCAACCACGTGAAATGTCCGGAGCGTACAACGGCCGAAACGTTGTGATAAACATGGCGACAAAGATGAAGACAATGTAAATAATGTAAGTAGACTTATGGTTTAGATCTGAAAAGCCTCTCACATTGGAAACAGATACTACATATTGATCTTAGAAAAGCCTAACAGTGGGATGCACAAACATGCACAATAAATGAATAGATTGGCCGATTTTTTTTATTTTTTATTTTTTTTGTTTAGCGGCATATCAAACTCTATTTGAATATTTTTTTCCCTCAAACATGACCTTTACCCCTAACCAACGATTTCTTTTATCACCTCGTGTTTCGTCTGCATATTTATTCCTCCATCGTCGGCGAGCCTCTATTATTCTGTTTTCCTTACTTTGCTCTACCATTTCGATTCCATCTCTTGACGCCGTTTTCTCAGTCTGCTCCCGGGTTCGATTCTATGCCGCCGCTTCACGTTTAACTTCCACGTCCTTACTAAATTTTTATTTTTTTATTTTTATTTTATTTTCTCCCTCCTACTCCCGGAGATGTTTTAACTTCTAACCAGTCACACATTCTTCCCTCACCCATTCGACCTGCTCCACCCATGGGCGCGACTCGAACATTGTTATTTGATCGTTGTCAGCTCGATGTGAAACGCTAGCTCCGGGTGTTTCGGCTACCCAAACAATAATCGACTGACGTCACAGACACGGCTCCCAATCCAACACTTTCATTTCGAAATTGTTTACAACGGAGCGCAATTTCTTCCATATTTATGGAGGACGGGAGGCCCGTAAAACTATTACTACTACTACTAATAATAATAATAATATTTCTTCTTCTTCTTCTTCTTCTTCTTCTTCTTCTTCTTCTTCTTCTTCTTCTTCTTTTTAATTATTTATTTGTTTATTAATATGCTTGCAACTAACAATATATGGATTGTAACACGTCACTCTTATAGGTATCTCCACTATTTCGGCATACATTTTCGATACCTAAACTTAAAAATGAGGTTTTTAAAAAAGAAAAAAAAACTTTCTTGGAGATTTTATTTTAGCTTTAATTGAAAGCTAAATGATTAAATTTATTATTTCCAGAAAGTAAAATATTCTGGTATATTTCAGACAGAAATTATATAGATTGGAATGTCAAATTTAATTTCGATTTCATAAAATTTTCTTAAAAGCGGCCATTTTCTTAATTTTAAGAAATTTGTAAACAAAAAATTTATCGATTTTAAAATTCTTCCAAAAAAAAAATATTTATATATCTGACACGTTATTTGAGCAAAATTAGAAAATTTAAAGTTAAATTAATCTGATTTGAAATAAATATTACTTACTTATAGCATAAAAAAGTAATAGACAGCCATTTATTTAATGACTGGCCCTGCTTATCATAACTTATCTGGGACGATAATGATTGGCCGATTGAATGACGAGGCGATGACAGCTAGTATGGCTGGCTAGAATTGATATAAAATATACGAAATCTAAGTGAACGCCTTATTTTTATTTTATTTTTTTTGGTTTTAACTACCAAGTAATTTTTAAAAATGAACATATTTTCAACAATTATCTAATAATTTATTGGCTTTTATTTACCTTTCGAAGATGCTTTATGCAAAAATTAAAAAAATTGAAATACTATGAAATTTTCTTAAATTAAGTTCTCTGTAATTTCTCTTAGATCACGTGACCGTTTCATAACATAATAATGTCACGTTTAGACTTTCACAGATGGAAATAGGGAACAAATAAAGGAAAGAAATAAGGAATAAACATTATTTTAAAAATAGAAGTGTAACTACGTTTATTAATCTTTTCAATTTTGGATTTGTAAATTTCGTTTCCACTTAATTACTATATCACATCAAGGAAATAGCCTAATGCCGATTTTTACTCGATTTGAAACTATTATAAATTATAATAATAAAAATTTAAAAAAAAATGAAATAAAATCTTGTTAAAATTCATTATCCATCGGAAAAAAATTTATTTTTTCAGACAATAATGTCCTTAATATAACTTATTTACAAAAGCAATTAAAAGCTTTTCTAATTAAATAATGTCATAGTTTTATTGGAGTCACTATTTTTCAATTCAGAGCAGATATTCAGTTAGTATGGTTCAATTTTGAAAAAAAAAAAAGATTATTCTCCAAGGAATCCTACTTTTAACGAACAAAAAATTCAGGAAACAGAATATTATTTTGCGAAATTTCACGAAATTAAGTAAGTGGGTGTGTGGGTGGTATTTAAAATATCTAAAAAATATTATGTACCAAAATTTTCTAAAAATAAAAATTTCAAAAATAATTTCATCCATTTGTGAATAAGTTCTGAAAATTTAATTAAAATCGGACAATTATTTGATTTTTACAAGAATTTCCAAATCAATGTGTTTTCAACGGGAAAAAAAGCGCAAACAAGTTCAATGTTATTATTCTGCCACCGTGATGACGGAAACAAACAAGGTTTTCACTAAAATTTCGAACTTTTTAGAAAGGATTAAAAATTTTCAAAAAATAATTAAAAAATACTTTGGTCTTTCATCTTAATAATAACATAAACATTTTGACGATAATACTTTATTTTTATTAAGTCTGTGGCCTTTATCATTACGCTATACTGTTTTCCCGCGAAAAAGTGGAGGTACCTACTCTTATAAAACCCAGACTGCGTTGAGAGTTTGAGAGAGAAACAGAAAGAGAGTGGAACATAAAGATTAAAACAAAAAAAAAGAGAAGGACAGAGAGAGAAATAAGAGGAGAGTGCGACACGGAGAGAGATTGGAGCGGGGAGACATCAGCAGAAAAATAGACGGGCCATAAAGAGTAAAACAGAAAGAGAGAGAGAGGGGCACGTAGAGAAAGAGAGGCCGAGAGTGCGAAACAAAGTGAGGTTCGAGCGGGGGGGGTCATCAGCAGAAAAATAGACGGACCATAGAGAATAAAACAGAGAGAGAGAGAGAGGGCGTAGAGAAAGAGAAGCCGAGAGTGCGAAACGAAGTGAGGTTCGAGCGGGAGGGGGAGCTCATCAGCAGAAAAATAGACGGACCATAGAGAGTAAAACAGAGAGAGAGAGAGAGGGGAGACGTAGAGAAAGAGAAGCCGAGAGTGCGAAACGAAGTGAGGTTCGAGCGGGGGTGGTCATCAGCAGAAAAATAGACGGACCATAGTTTATAAAACTCAATGAGAGAGAGAGAGAGAAAGAGAAAGAGAGTAGACGTAGACAGGCAAGACGAGAGTGCGACACGGAGAGATTGTAGCGGGGGACATCAGTAGATAAATAGGCGTATAATAGAGAGTAAAACAGAGTCAGAAAGAGAGAGACATGGAGTGACGAAATGTGACTACGACACGGAGAGAGATTAAGGCGATGTTCATCAGCAGGAAAATAGGGAGTAAAAAAGAAGACAGTGCGAGAATCTCGTGAAAAGACGAATCCCTCTAAATATATCTGGCAATTAAAGAATGATGGTAATAAACCTTTTATCACCTTCGATATTAGAGCAAGAACAAAATCATACAACGGGAAAGAAAATAGCTGCAATTTATGCCCTGCTGAAAAATTGGTTATCTTAAAAAACTTATATAACCCTAGCTTATTAAACAAAAGAAATAAATTGATTGTTATATGTAGGCATAATAATAAATATCTGCTTAAATACGTCAACCCAGCTTAATTTTGAATGTAAATTACGGTTTGTGTTTTAAAAAGAAGACGTGATCTCCTTTTCTGCTTAATATAAAAAAATGAAAAATTTATATTCACTCTAAAATATTTTTACACAAACACACATACATATATAATAATCGACTCTCCCGTCGAGATTCGACGTATAAGGGTCAAGCAGATCAGTTTCATTTTCAAACAGCTATATATATATATATATATATATATATATATATATATATATATATATATATCCTGTTTATTTTAAATGCTATATATATTTTTAAATTAAAAAACTGTAATCCCAGTAGAATATATATCTGCGCAAACATTCTGATATCCAGGTATTTTTTAAATTTAAATTACCTAATGATCAGTCTATACTAGCATCTGAAGACTGCGTTGTGCATAAAAGTCCGAGACGTAACTTGGTGAGGGATAATATGTATCTTTAATTATATATATATATATATATATATATATATATATATATATATATATATATATATATATATATATATATATATATATATATATATATATATATATATATTAAATATATATATGCACGGTGCTTATTAGAAAGCGGCCAATATCAGTGATAGAGCTAACATATTTAGTTGCGTTAATGTGAGTTTGTCACCCTGGGTTTCACGCACTTTGCGATTGTCTGACGATCGTAAAGGGCGTGAAACTTAGCCTCACAAACTTACATCAACGCAAACATATATATATATATATAGATAGATAGATAGATATAGATATGAATTTTATTACATAAACGTTATTTTTATTGCATACTTATATTTGAGTAGATGCCCTGTTTATTTGTTAAACAGTACATTTATTTAATTTTATATACCACCTTGAATATTTGACAAATATTTTAGAAATACATGAGCACTACATGAGCACTAGGGATGTTTCTCTATGGTGTGTAAATGAGAGCAGTTTTATTTTGGCTGCATTAGAATCCACAAGCCATTTCCTGACACAGTCAACCACAGATTGGAGGTCCTTTTCGTGACCAACGGCCAAATGAACTATGTCAGCAATGCCGGATTTACTATTGAGACAGGAGTAAATGGTAGTGTCGTCTGCGTAGATGCTGACTTGAGAACCGATGACGCCAGGTAGATTATTGATGAAGATCAGAAACAGTGTCGGACCCAGGATAGAACCTTAGGAAACACCAGCGTTCGTATGGGAGGGAATAGAAGAGAACCCGTTCAGGGCCTACCTTCATTTCACGGTTTGACAGGAATGATTGGATTAAATCAAATAATAGTCCTGTAATACCGTGTCCCTGAAGCTTACGTACAAAGCCGCGTTCCAAACTTTGTTAAACGCCCTTGAGATATCTAGAGCCACAGCTTGCGCTTTACCGTTATTATCAAGAGCTTGATATACATATTCAGTTATGGCCGTAAGCACATCAGCGGTAGGCCGGGCAAGGCGGAAACCATATTGTTTGTCAGATAGTAGTTCATGGGAAGTAAGATGATTAATCATTTTGGCATTGATTAAAGCCTCGAAGACTTTGCCGAAGAGTGGTAGGAGACTGATAGATGGTTCAGAATGGTCTCCAGGGTTCTTAAAAACAGGGATGGCAGAGGATGACTTCCAACAGGCTGGAGAGCAAGAATCGGAGCGACAATAGTTGTATAGCTTGGAGAAAACTAGAGCCAGCTCAGGGGTACATTTCTTTAGAACTACGGCTAGTATCCCATCACCACCGCTTGCTTTATGAGAGTCTGAAATAGAGATGATGTTCATTAACACCGACAGGGTTATACACGTATCACTCAGACGAGCCTCAGTTCTTGGGGAAAAATCAGCTGTGAGTACTCCGGATGGGTCGAATGTTGAGTGTTGAGCAAAGTATTCAGCCTTATCAGAAGTGGATATTAGGAATTGATTGAATAGAGGGTATGGTTGAGGATTTGCAGTTGTTCGGCAACTCTTGCAGAGCCGCTAATAATCTTTAGATCCAAACTTGCGAGATGCAATACGTTGTTTCATTCTTCCAGCAAACAGTAACTTTGCTTGATTAATAAAATAAACAGCTGTCCTTCTCGGAAAAGCTGTTTTAAGGGTCAAAACGTTATTGCCACTCACACAAGACGCCCCAGACATACATGAAGCTATTACAGTTCCTCCTTTATTTTTTCGTAAAGACAATTCAAATTAATCCAGATAAATCGAATTAGTTGAGATTAACGAGAATACATCACAACATCCCATGGGGAAATATATTCGTCGTCTAGATACGTTTTCTACTTTCTTCTTGAAAATCTTAATAGTTTTACAACTTCTATTCTTCGACTCAATCGACATTTTCCGCCATTTTGTTTTTATTCATAGAATACTCGAACGCTGAGCCGTTAACGGGATCTGACCTTGAAAATCACAACGACGTTGGAAAACTACTCAGTTAAGTATCATACGTGATACACGCTTGGTCTCTTTCAATTCATGACTGACTAGGCAGATTTTCTGACAGTCGTCTCTTTCTGTAGATTGGTTGCCAACCAAAGCTATGGTACTTATCCTGTCCTGCTATTCAACTTATAACTGGAGTGGGGGTAGAAAAGATAGATTTATACCTTTCCCAAGAATCTATGCAATGAACCCAACTGGAATTTGAATTCTGTTCTGCAATTTCTCATTCCAGGCCGATATACTGTTCGCCAAGCCGCACATCCACTGCGACGCTGTACAGTGATACCTCGAGTTACGTCGTTTCGAGTTAAGTCATTTTCGAAGATACGTCGGTTTTTCTTAAATATTATATGGAAAAATGAAACTCGCCTTACGTTGTTTTACTCGAGTTTACGTCGGCCGTTAGAAATATTAGAAACGTTAAAACACTAAAATATCAATAAACACATATAAAATCATATTTAAATAAATTTTTAAAATATTATATATATATATATATATATACATAAATATATATATATATAGAGAAAAAAGTGCAAATTAAAAAAATGATAATGTTTTATTTTATGAAAGTATTTATTTATTTATATATAAAATAAAAAATAAATTAAAATTACTGTTTGTTAGCAAGTAGCGTCCGTCGCGAGACGCGGACGTCACGTGATATGGAACGTCACTGTTCGGATATTCCGAACTTAAATCTAACTGTCATAAATATTTTAGATGTTGTTTAAAAAAATATTTTTTTTTAACTATATCTAAAAAAAAATGCTTAACTATTGAAATATTTATAAAGATTTAAAATACCTAAGTCTTGATTTAACCCTAGTTTATGTATATTTAATTTTAAATACTTGCTAACAAACAGTAATTTTAATTTATTTGTAACAGTTATTTCTGATGAAAGATTGAGGGCAATCTGAAATATCATATATATATATATAAATAAATAAATACTTTCATAAAATAAAACATTATTACTTTTTTAATTTGCAACTTTTTCTATATATACATATTAAGAAATTATACGTGGCTTCTCATTATATATATATATATATATATATATATATGTATGTATGTATATATTGGGTTGGTGCATAATTATCAGGCGTTTTTTAAAACAATATTCATAAAGAAAAGAAAAACACAGGATTTGACAATGGTAAACAATGTTTCAACGTAACGTCTGTCTTCTTCAGGTTATATTCAAACATTTTTTTCAAGTATAAAACTATATAAATCTTCAAAAACTTATAAGTCTTTGTACAACGGTTGCTTGTCTTGGAATGAAAAAACACGGCTATACCGGTAATTGACGCGTTTATGAGCAGTACAGTGGTAACTCGACTTACGTCGTTTCGAGTTAAGTCATTTTCGAAGATACGTCGGTTTTACTTAAATATTATATGGAAATTGAAATTCATCTTTGAATTCAGACTTGTTTACATCTGTGCTCTGCCGTTGACGTTCTTTCAATTACATTTCAATTGTGATTTAGAATGCATTTTTGCCCACAGCTCCAAAGAAAATCCTTTATTCAGAATACTGTACGTCCATATCATAAATACTGTAATATGCAATGGGTGGGTGCTTATTTGCAGTTTATAGTGTGGTTATTCCTACCTAAGTCATGACCTCTGGAACCAATCAACAACATAGGGTGAGGTATACCTGTATAGACCAGAACCCAGCAGCTGATCTCTCCTCTGACTCAACCCAAGTGGCTCAATGGAAGAAGGGCTGGCTTGTAAAAGTCAATACATCCAAAACTAGTAACATTCTATCACTAAGGAGCAGACCATGAACTTGTCTATATTATTTAATGAAACATGCATCAATATATATATATATATATATATATATATATATATATATATATATCATAAAATAATCAAAAACAAAAAAAATTAACATAATAAAGTATGTTCAGTAGATTTTTATTTTAAATTCTTGCTGACAGGCGGCACTCGTGTTGTTTTCCACTCTAACACCAATTTTGAATTCAGACTTGTTTACATCTGTGCTCTGCCGTTGACGTTCTTTCAATTACATTTCAATTGTGAATTAGAATACATTTTTTCCCACAGCTCCAAAGAAAAGTCCTTTATTCAGAATACTGTGCGTACATATAATAAATACTGTAATATGCAATAGGGAGTGGTTACTTGCGGTTTATAGTGTGGTTATTTCGACTTTTTTGTTTTTTTGTTTTTTGTTTATTGTTTTTTTTTTTGTTTTTCGACCTAAGTCATGACCTCTGGAACCAATTAACAACGTAGGGTGAGCGACACCTATAATCTGTTCCACAATTAAACAACGACATTTAGTGGAAATTTTTAAAAAGAAATCCGATATCCCTCCAGAATTTTGGCGAACATGACTCTCCACAGATTCTTTTTCTTTAATATTTGTGGATTGCCTTACATCCTTTGGGACGATAATGGATTCGTTTCCGTTGGAATACAGATTTTTTTTTCTCTCTTAGAATTTTTGTCACCCAAAGTTAGTGAGTCATGAGTCCAGAAATGGTTTCATGCCTTTTTCATTATTGTGAAAGGGAACTCAAAGGACGAGCCATGAATTCGATCTCGTTTCGCTGATTTCACTTTGGATGTCGATATCCCTGACACTCAGCGCAAGAGAAATTTTACAGAACTTCACCGGGTTGTGGAATTTGTCTGTAATTTCGTGACTCGTCGATATTCCGAAGTTTTTGACTCTGTTTTTCGTGTTCTTTATTCGCTATACAAAATCCAGAAACACACTCTTGCGTTTCTCGTGAAACTGTTTCTTGAATTCCAGTTTTTGAATATTGCATTCACGACAAGCAAAAAAAAAAAAAACAAAAAAAAAACACAAATAAAAACAATTCAGCATATTCCGCAAACAGAAAATAAAACTCCTGCCTCCACACAAAACATTGCTTTTAATATAAAAAAAAAAATCAAACAAAAAACGATGATAACATACAATTGTTTCACCAAGGGAATGAAAGCCGATATGCCCGCTTTTCTCAAACTTCCGTTTCGCATCTGCGCGTGCGTAGACCGTGTGGGCAAATAACCAACCCTGCGCTGATGTCTATGACTATCTTTTCCGCATTTTATATTTTGCAAATATTTTGATTTCGTGTATTTCGCGGATTTGTTTCCATACATGGGAGAACTATAAACCCAACCCCACATACACACACAAACATATATATATATATATATATAGTCATCCACAGGCAGAATGTTTCGCTGTATCTTCAGTGTGGATAGACATCCGATTGCCGGGATCGAAACTCGACTGATTTGGTATCAGTCAGATATCATATCCCTAAGTTGTCGGCGCACGGTAGAGAGAAATTCTAACGTTTTCTATACGAAATACGTCAATAGCGGAGAGAGCTCAATTCGTAAGAGCAATGCATTAATAGCAGCAGCGCTCGCTGTTTTTAAAATTACCCTTTTCTCCAGAGAGCGCTATCGGGTCTCCGAGAGCATATATATATATATATATATATATATATATATATATATATATATATATATTTATATTGATAAAGTATATGATTGGTGTATACGGAATAAATTCCGATAACCAACAATTACTATTCTTAAAAGAGTGCTCCCTATAGAGTAGAGCGAATACAATTATTTATTTAAATTTTTTTTTATTGAATGTAGATTTTAGAACCTACAATCTACATTCAACATCATCACTTGATAAAACACCAAAGCTGTTGAAACAAAATGGCTATTTTTGTAGTGATTTTATAACATATTCATGTTATAATTTTTAAATAAATAATTATATATATATATATATATATATATATATATATACACTCTTGGAAGAGAGTAAATCATTAAGTTTATAGCCTGATGAGTAATTAATGACTAAATTTTTCACTGTATAATATTTGATCTAGACGATTAATGGAGAGGCACTGGATAAAGGATATTGACAAGAAATCTAATATATTTATTATTTAATGAATTTATCATCAAGTGAAGGACATATTAATAATCGTTCGTATCACTCGAATATATATATATATATATATATATATATATATATATATATATATGTATAGATATGATCGAATAAATTAAATATATTATGTCTGCTTATTTTTATCATATTCTTTCATATTCAATCGTAAAAGTAAGCAGACATAATGTTTGTAATTTATTTAGTCAGACATGCCTAAGAGAGAATTTTCTGCCCCCCCCCCCACACAAACATATACATTATGAAATGTAAATCCGACAATTATTTTGTGTTTATACGTTATTTTTATGGATGCAAATATTTAAGTAAAAGCTCCGTTTATAATAAACAGTATTAAACAACATTTGCCGACCTGAATGTCCGAGAAATTTCATAGAAAATATGTTTCCTCCTAGAGGCATCGAACCTGTATCCTATACGGAACAGTCATACAACTTGGTGTGCTATGCCGTTTGGCTACAGAGGACGCGTCCGGTTAGCAAAGTCAAATTGAAATAATTGTCAGATAATTTTTCCATTTCAAAATGTATGTTGTCACTTGTTTACGTTAAGATACGCTTCGAGCAGATATGAGCGTTCGAGAAAAATCAAGGAAAATTTGCTGTTTAAAAACAGTAATTTGACTTTGCCAAACCAGAAGGTTTGGAAATTGTTAACAATAATAACATTTCCAATCCAGAAAAACCTTCTGAATGAAAGATCAGAAATAATGACACGTTGCTTACATACAATAAATTAATTTTGAGTTCGTTTGAACAAGGAGGAAAGTATGTACATTTAATATACAACCGCCGCCGAGACAATTTCAATGCCCTTGCTATTCTCATTCCCTTCTATTACTCTTCGCGTTGTACGTTTATTTAATTATCTTTAAATAATAAAGTGTTAGGAAATTATTTAGCCCAGATCGCCGGACGATGCTAAAAGCTTGAAACCAAGGCAGCGTGATCGGCTGATCTCCCCTTTTTTTCAATTTTAAAAGATTTGCACGTTATTTTTTCTTTATACGTGTATTGAACAGTTTTTAATACTACTGTTTCCTGGTCTAACTCAACTCTGGCTGATAACTATATATATATATATATATATATATATATATATATATATATATATATATATATATATATATATATATATATATATATATAAAAAAAAAGGCTCAAACATTAATATTCCATGATTATAATTTATTGCATTGGAATCGTAATCACGATCCAATTCATCAGACTTTTACGGTTCCAATGTAAAAAATTTATAACCATAGAATATTAGTGTTTGAGACTTTTATATTATATTCTTACTCTGTCCTAGACATTGAGTTCTACCAGGATTCTATCCTTTTAGGAATTTATATATATATATAGACCACTAATATTTATCTATCTATTAAAGACATTTTTATGTTTAACGTTATTTTTTATAGATACAAGTATTTAAGTAAATGCTCTGTTTATAATAAACATTATTAAATAACATTTACCGGCCTGAATGTCCGAGAAATTTTCATAGAAAATATTCGTCCTGTGACAGTATTCGAACCTGTATCCTATACGGAACCGTCATTTACGCTGACGTGCCTAACCTCTCGGCTATGAAGGATCGTTCGGTTGGAAAGGTCGAATTTACTGCTTATAAACTTCCGTATAGGATACAAGTTCGAATCCTGTCAAAAGACGAATATTTTCTATGAAAATTTCTCAGACATTCAGGCCGGTAAATGTTATTTAATACTGTTTATTATAAACAGAGCATTTACTTAAATACTTGTATCTATAAAAAAAGAACGTTCAACATAAAAATTTCTTTAATAAATAAATTGTCGGACTTTGTCCATTTCTTATATATATATATATATATATATATATATATATATATATATATATATGGAGGAATATAGCCTTAAGGTGTGCTATATTATCGGATAAAGTGCTCAATATCAGAGATAGTGCGTGTGTAAATATGGTGGCCTGACGATTGCGTCTAGCATGAAAAAGCCTGTCGACTCTAAGTATTAACTTCAATCTTCACTTTATATATATATATATATATATATATATATATATATATATATATATATATATATATACAACAACAAGGTATATTTTACGAGTGAGAGTTGAAAAAAATATGATCTTTCTTGCCAAAGAAAATGGCGACGATGTTCAGCATCATCAATAGGATTCGCGTATCTCTTTGCCCACCACGTAAATATTCGACCGACCAATCGCCCACTTTCATCAGTGGACGGATATGTCGGCTGGTTGAATTTTCCCCCAAAAGGAAACTCAAAGTTTAGGAAATCACAACGTCGCCTACAGCTGACCACACAATCTTCAAAAATTGCTCCAAACACGCGGGACAACATCCCTTTCTCCTCTCAACGTACACCGTCTTTTGTTCACTGTCCAGATCCCTTACCATGAGGGTCTCGACCCCCATATCTTTACACTTTTTTGACACTGATATCGAATGACAAATTTAATTAAAGGCGAACCGACGTGCTTCGACGCGGACGTGGTCCCTTGTCAGGAAAAATCACGACTTGTACACATCTGCCCGTTGCACCCACGACGCTGCATCGAGTAACCCGACCGCCACCCCGTTTGGCGTCTCTTCAAAGAGAGGGAATTTTTGCAGATGCTGGCGTCGAGCGCGCGATGCCGGGATGGAGTCGAAAAGCAGCGGTGCGATTGTGTAAATTTGTTTTTGAGTTTTTGACAGATAATCGTGAAAAGGGGGTTACAGTGGCTATTAAAAACGGATCTTTGTTGACAGACACGAATTTGACACCGACAACAGAAAATATGTTTATTATAGCTGATAGCAGGGATAATAATTAATGTGCCGCCTTCAAACTTTCCATGTAAGCGAAATGACTTTCAAAACTGAATTCACACACACACACACACACACACACACACACACACACACACACACACACACACACATATATATATATATATATATATATATATATATATGCTTACACATATCATAATCACTCACTCCCTAAGAAACAAATAACACACACACAAACACTAAACAGACACATCCCCTCACCAGGTCCAATAAAACTGTCAAACTGACCATGGGAATTCAGAGAAGCATAGATCCATTCAGCTCTTATCTCAAATAACAACTTAAAAGAGACTGTTTGACCAACACAAGGAATGTTAAAAGATAAAAAAAATTAAAAAATCGAATGAAAACTACAGACAAAAGTTCATTTTCACCATCAAGACATTAATTTCTGTAGTTTACTGCTACCAGTAAGCAGAAATATTTCTCCTCCCGATGATGGCCATTTTGGCCGAAACTAGTCGAGGAATCTAAATGAAATAATAATAAAAAAACGAAAGAATATTAATCAACAACCCAGTGTGTCTAAAGATTTTAATTTTTTAATAATATTTTTTTAATATTTTTTATTCTTATATATATATATATATATATATATATATACACACACACACACACACATATATATATATATATATATATATATATATATATATATATATATATATATATATATATATCATTCGAGCATGTTTGGTTAAATAATTTAGACGTATTATGTCTATTTATTTTAGTTTTTATCATTTCATGTCCAAGAATTAATTTCTTGGTTTCTGTAGAAAATTGATTAACAAAAATTCCAAAATTTTCTTTCAAATAATTTTTATTTTCCCAAGTAGTTTTAATCTCATCTGAGGCTATCTTCAGAGGTTGCATATCTATGGATGTGTTATGCTTTAACACCGTAAATTCAAAATATTTTTTACCTCTATTCAAGGGAGTTAACTAATATGATTTTTTAAAAAATATATTTTTAAGGATTATTTTAATTGTATTATTTTAATTTAGTATTTTTCTATATAACACTTTGCTACTACAAACATTTAAGAACTTTGTTGTTATACTTGTAGTTAACTTTATTTTTGGCCACAATTCTCTTATATAAAGGGCTCCTAGATTTTTAAGTTTTTGTTTATTATTATTATTATTATTATTATTATTATATTGATGAAGCACTAGCTTATTTTCGATTAATATTGATCTAAACTGTGAATGTGGACATGAGTGTTTCTTTAAATGTTCGGAGATTGAACTATGATCGTTCAAGTGAAACGTAACCCTTCTCGTCATTGTCGTTTTTGTATAGCAACAAAGTTCTTAAATATTTGTAACATCAAAGTGTTATATAAACATACTAAATTAAAATGCTACGATTAAAAAAACCTTTAAACAAACCACACACGTTATCTCCCTTGCATAGAGTTCAAAATATTTTGAATTTACATTGTCAACGCATCCATAGATATGCAACCCCTGAAGATTGTCTCAGATGCGATTGAAAGTAATTGGGAAAATAAAAATTAAACTTTCAGATGAACAACATCCTTTTTAATTTTTGATTAGGATTTACTCATATACTCATATATTATTAAATGAAGCATTGTCAGCCATTGTTATTAGTGTTTGACTAAGATTTAGTGTCATCTTCATTTATTATTAAATGATGTATTGTCAGCCATTATGATTAATTTTTGACGAGGATTTACTGACATCTTCACTCATTATTAGATGAAACATTGTCTGCCATTATTATTCATTTTTGACGAGGATTTACTTAAATTTTCATTTTTTTATTAGATTAAGTATTTGCAAACATTATTATTCATTTTTGACTAGGATTTACTTATAGCTTAATTTATTATTCTGATGAAGCATTGTCAACCATCATTTTTAATTTTTGACGAGGATTTACTCATATCCTAATATATTATTAGACGAAGTATTGTCAGCCATTATTATTAGTGTTTGACTCGGATTTACTGTCATCTTAATATATTATTAAATAATGTATTGTCAGTCATTATTATTCATTTTTGCCTTGGATTTACTTAAATTTTTCGTTTTTTATTAGACTAAGGATTGTCAAAAAGTATTATTAATTTTTGACTAGGATTTAATTTCTTCTTTGTTTTCATCAGCCGATATATTTTCAGCCATTATTATTAATTTTTGACTCGGATTTACTGTCATCTTCACTCATTATTACATGAAGCATTGTCAGCCATTATTATTCATTTTTGCTTTGGATTTACTTAAATTTTTCGTTTTTTATTAGACTAAGGATTGTCAAAAAGTATTATTTATTTTTTACTAGGATTTACTTTCTTCTTTGTTTTCATCAGCCGATATATTTTCAGCCATTATTATTAATTTTTGACTCGGATTGACTGTCATCTTCACTCATTATTACATGAAGCATTGTCAGCCATTATTATTAATTTTTGCTTTGGATTTACTTAAATTTTTCGTTTTTTATTAGACTAAGGATTGTCAAAAAGTATTATTAATTTTTGACTAGGATTTAATTTCTTCTTTGTTTTCATTAGTCGAAATATTTTCAGCCATTATTGTTAATTTTCGTAAATGATTTCAATCTGAAATGCATTGCAAAGGATTTTCGTATGAAAATGCATTACGAGTACTTCATTCCGAAGCGAATTTTGCATAATGCCTTATCCATAATACGCAAAGCACACGCACACACGTATACGTTCGTACCTATTTCAGGTATGTGGTTGTTTTAAAAAAGTGAAACATTTTGAAGGTCAGGCGGTGTTACTCGGGATTATTTCTTCAATATTCTTTACCAACATATTTTCAGAAGCCAGCTTACAGACAATCTTTGAATCATAATCTTTAAGTTATGGGAGAAGATTACATGATCAGCATTTTTTTTTTTTTTTTTTTTTTTTGAGGGGGTGTTTGTTTTTCTAAATAATACACTGTGCAAAGCAGTTTAGAAAACCGTCATTGCGTCCTGGGCAACGCCCATTTACTTCTTGAAGCAGAAGAAAATAGATTCTCTCCAGCACACCATCACCGCCCCCCCAACCTGCCGCAAACCGTCGGATAATAACAATGCCTATGTTAGGCTTCGTCCGCGCCCTGAAAAAGCATGTGATTGATAAAGGACTGAATTTTCGGAGAATTTAGGACAGCAGAAAAATAAATAAATAATTATTGGGGATGACACGATTTTAAAGTTAAGCTGATTTGCGGGATATATTAATGGACAGTTTCGGAAAAAATATAAAATTATTCCCAGAGAGGAGCATTAACGGGAGGGTGTGGTGGATGTCGAACGAAATGAACCGTCGAAAAATAGCTATATTTATATAAGTGTAGTACCCGTCAAAAATGACAGGTTGATTTATTTCTTTATATCGCACGCTAGAATATTTAAAAATCAGTACTTTCGAGAAGTTTGACCCATTAGTATTAGTTTTAAAAAATCTAACTGGGAATGAATTCATTTCTTCAACCGCACCCCTCATTAACTATGCGGTAAATAGTAGGGTAGACTGGGTTCCTTTATGTTATATAACATACCGATGAGCACTAATGACTATGTCCCAATTCTCATAAATACGTTGGACACTATTGTAATATGCTGTCTAAGTAGTCCAACACTAGCAGTGGTTTACCTATTTCACGCCGCTGGTGAGTACTGTATTTTGTGGATGATATAAAGATTACCATTTTCATTTTCAACCTCCGTCTTAGGTTATTCCTAATTCTGTAACCCTTGCTAGGTTGCAATAGATAGATAGATAGATAGATAGATAGATAGATAGATAGATAGATAGATAGATAATGAACATAGTGAGACAGTGTTATAGACCGTACCTATGAACAGTAATGGGTATTTCTCATAAATACGTTGGACACTATTGTAAGTGGGGGTAATATGCTATCAAAGTAGTCAATCACAAGCAGTGGTTTACCTACTTCACACCACTGTCGAGTATTGTATTTTGTTGATGTTATAAAGATTACCATTTCATTTCCAACCATCATTTTGGTTATTCCTCATTCAGTAACCCTTTCTAGGCAGCAACAACATGTATATAAAACCCAGCCATGCCATGGACACCATCTTCATTCCATTTGCATTCCATACAGTTAGATTAAGAAATTGCAGGATATTATATATGAAAGAGTTCTTTCATGTTGGTTGTTTGATATAGTTTGGTGGCATATCAAACTCTAGTGATTATTTAATGCTGAAATCTAAATATTTTGTACGTAATTTTATGCTTTCAATTAAAGATATTTTGTACATAGTTTTATACCTTTGTTATATACCGTACCTATAAAGACTAATGGCTATGCTCCAATCTTCATAAATACGTTGGACATTAGTGTAAGTGGGGTTAATATGCTGTCTAAGTAGTCCATCACTAGTAGTGGTTTACCTACTTCACGCCGCTGGCGAGTATTGTATTTTGTTGATATTATAAAGATTACCATTTCATTTCCAATCACCATTTTGGTTATTCTTCATTCTGTAACCCTTTCTACGTTACAGCACATTACTAGGTGTCGGAAGGGGTAGCCAGTCTAAGAGGAAAAACGCTTTTAATGCAAAACCGTGAAACCGCTCCAATATCTTCTAAAAGTCATCACATTTCACAGATATTGAAGTAGGGAATGGATGTGTTGTGAGACTTGATTGTTTATGACCTGAAAATATATTTTTTTAAAACAGGTGATTAATTTAACTGATACTGATTTTCATATTAAAAACAAATCGTAGTGTAAGCGCATACCTAAAATTAAAGCGGAGATAGTTTTTAAAATCTAAAACTAATTTTTGTCTTGTTTATAAATAACCTCAGTCCTCGAGCGTCTCACATGTCGAACAAATCGCTTTTCGAACAGAAAATTCGAGGTGAATATGTTTCGGTTATCGAGCAAAATTTCGGTTCTCGAACAACACTGTCGAAACGAGTCGAACGGAATAATTTCTAAGTTGACCACCGTGTTGTATACATTGCATTTGCTTTCCAATTTTATTGTACTCTGCCTTTTCTTCTCTGCATTGATCCTATTATAAAAAATAGTTTCGCCTTACGAACATTTCGAGTTACGAACAGTTCGAGTTACGAACATTTCGAGTTACGAACGAATTAAATTCGTGAACCAAGGTTCCACTGTAGTCAAAATTCGAAGCGTATATTAAATGCAGTTTACGCTCTTTGAATGAGTTTAAGGCGGCAACAGTGTTTCAGAAAAAATCGGGACCCATAGAAAAAAAATTACTTCTACGTGCTGTGCCCTTCAAGACATGGACGATAATGGTTGTCCACAACTTAGCTATGTGTTTTTTTTAATCCCTGTTCTGCCAAGCATTTATACACCGGGGTGGGGGTATATCATGTTACGAAGTGCTGTGAATATTCATAAATCCGGAGCCCAATGGTGGAAAGGGCTGTTTTTGCTTACAAGGCAGTAATACATTTTAGAAAAGGGCTTCTCTACCCACATCTTCAGGGGCATAATTGTTGTAACCTAGAGAAGGTTACTGAATAGAATAATCAAACAAAGGTTGGTAATGAACGATAATACTTAGGACAAGAACAACACATATAAGATTTGCCAGCGGCGCGTAGAAATAGTCAACAGCTAGAAGGGAGTCAAGTAAATTCCACAATAAATCTCCAAATGCGGGATAACTACCAATCGCCCACGTGGTCAGATATGGCACAAGGCCGACTCTAATGTTGGATATCCGAGCCTGTAGGGTCGGTCAAAACTTCCCCGCAGACAACGTATAAAACGGGGTTGGGTTTCCCGAGATGAGATTCTTCCCTTCGACATAGCCTCGTCTGGGGCTCCAATCTACCCGGAGTCAAAGAGTTTGACCAGCACAACGTGGAGACAAATCTCCAACCCAGACCAACATACAGTATTTACTACTGTATTTATGTGAATGGGGACATACCCATTATCGTTCGTAGGTATGCTACAACAATAACATTCTGTATCTCCACACATCAGGAGCGTAACATGTTACAAAAGTCTGTCTCTGCTCACAATTCAAAAGCCAATCATGTCATGATCAATCTTCCTTCTCACAAATAAGGGTCACATTCTGTTGGTGAGCTTTGTCTTTGCTCACAATTCGGAAGCCCATCGTGTTGGAAAGAGCCTTTCTACGCCTAAGTTAGGAGCATAACATGCTGTAAGAGCTCTCTCTCTATCTATCTCTCTCTCTCTCTCTCTCTCTCTCTCTCTCTCTCTCTCTCTCTCTCTCACTCTACACAAGTCAAGAGCACATTTACAAAGGGCTGTCTCTACACACAAGCCAGGAGCACATTTTTCTTTCCTTGGGCAATTGGATAATTTGAAACAGATATCAACATCTTCAAAAGTATGTCGACTGCCTCATTTTTCTTTTTTATTTCCTCTAAGAATACGCACCTACTAAGGCGCTAAGTCTGCCAAAAGGTAACGTCAAAGGAGCACTTCAAAAAATAAAACTCATTAAATTAGTGACTTTTTGGTGGATTTGTAATCAAGTTCTAATCTGTACATATATTTTACCACTTACTAAGTGTTGTTTAGTCTGGTACAAGGCAGAAACTGTGGGTTATCTGTTATCGCATTCAAACAAACTATTTTATCTCTTAGTTTATATTTATATAAGGACTGTTGTCCTCATCTTTGTTTTTGTTATTGTGGTAGTAAAACAGCAAAGATAAAGACAATAGTCCGAAAATAAATAGTGTAATAATAACTCTTCATAAATTGAGACATAAATTGTTTTGTGTTCTGTGTCTCTTCCGGAAGTATGAGTCCATAACTTTCAACAACTTCCTGTTCCTTCTACCTCAAAACAACGAGTAGAACCTCGCTAAAATTTACAGAACAAAATTCTATAAATTTAAGTAGAATTACTTAAATCTCAGTTTTGAGCAAAAATAGGATTCCACAGACATCACCGCTGTTCTGTACAACAATAGCCTCACATGAACTTCAAATTCAGATTCCTATATTAGAATTTATTAATGAGCGACGTTGACTCAAACGCCATTATGATTTTAATAAAAACACCCAACAATCTTGCCGTTTGCTAAAAACTTCTGAATTTAATAAATCTAACTTTTATCTTCCTGTGATCTAATTTCTTCTTATAAATAGCATAACGTAAATTAGATCTTTAGGTTTCAATATAATTCGACCGGCGGATGCAAATAACACTAAATTTTCAAATTTTCGCTTACTCAAATTAACTTATAGGTTACTATGCTCCTTTTTTCGTAAATTATTTCTCGCTTTTAAAGTATTTTCATAAACCAGTTTGTACAGTTTACATTACGAAAAATACCCACGCAAGACATAAATAAAGCGTAGTCGTCAAAGCCGTGAAGTCGCTGTAATTATCGGCTGCTGATGAAATTGCATCAGACACAGGACATAAAATAACGTAAACCGTATATTTTCGCATGATGAATTCACACATACCTTTCAGCCTATACTAACACAACCGATTTCTCTTTGCTGTAAAAAGAAAAAAACATTTTTCGTATGAAATTTGTGAGGAACTTGTTTTTTCTAAATTAGAAGAAAACAAAGACTTTTTTTTATACTCATTTAATAAAATTATTTAAATTTGTAGAATTGTGTTTGAAAGTTATTTCTTCTCTTCGCTTTTCAAACACTTCCTCTATTCTTAGAGTAATAGGTAGCGGCTCGGATTGATGATTCGGAGAGCCGAGTTCGAATTCCAGTCGAATCCATTATATTCACTTACGTGATGATACCCTTGGAAAAGGTATGAAACCTCTTCTACCCCCAGCTATGGGTAAATAGTAAAACAGACTGGGTTCTATAGCTTTGGATGGTATCTGGTCTACACAGAAAAAAATGGCAATCTACCGCGGGAAAAAAAAAATCTGCCTCGTCACTCATGTATCGAAAGATACATGATCGTCTAAGCGTGTATCACGCATAGCACAAAACAGGCTGATATTCACTTACGTGCTAATACCCTTGGAAGAAGTACGAAACCTCTTCTGTCCCCAGCTATGGGTAAATAGCAAGACAGACTGAGTTCTATAGCTTTGGATGGTATCTGGTCTACGCAGAAAGAAATGGCAATTTACCGCGTGAAAAAAATCTGCCCTGTCAGTAATGTATCGAAAGATACATGATCGCCTAAGCGTGTATCACGCATGGCACATAACTGACTGATATTCATTTACGTGCTAATACACTTGGGAAAGGTACGAATCCTCTTCTACCCCCCAGCTATGGGTAAATAGTAGGGTTCTATAGCCGTAGATGCTAACTAGTCTACGCAGAAATAAATGGCAACCTACCGCGGGAAAAAATCTGCCTCGTCAGTACATGATCGCCTAAGCGTGTATCACACGTGGCACATAATTGACTGATCCCTTGTTGTCCTCGCTCTGTCATACATTCTTTTTTCGTTCTACTCTTTCTGCTTTCAGTAGTCCTGTGAGTGTTAAATTTTCCTAGTCGTCTCTTCTCATGCATCAAAGAAATTTTAATTGTCTCTTTCTGATTTTAAATATCAGTTTCTTTTTAGTTCCTTTTTTTTTTCTTTATCGTTTATGTATTTCTCTCATGTCATGTTCCTTATATTCTCAGCATCAATCAAATTAATTAATTAATTAATTAATAGAGAACCACTTCATTGTCGCTTCGAGTGCTTTCTTTATTTGTGAAGAAACTGTCCAGCACTGATATAAGCCATTTGTATATACCATATCCTGACGGGACATAGGCGATCATGGCCCCTCACATCTTCCTATCCCTTGTAGCTCTAAAGCCACGTTCGGCTCTTTACCATCCA